CTCCCCTGAAAAGTCCAGAATGAGTGAGTTGAGATTTCCTTTCTTTTTCTTTTTTTCCCCCCAGGTGGAAGTTGTGGAAGGAGAGCTGGTTTGTCCAGAGACTGGGAGGAAATTTCCCATCTCTAACGGGATCCCCAATATGTTGTTACTGGAACACGAGTTGCAGTGATGTGTGTGTGGCGACAGCAGAAAGACAGTGTGATTGTTCTAAGTTCTGGATGGATGGTCGAAAGAGATGGGTGAAGGAGGGGACTTCTGCGCCAGTCTTCCTCGTGTTGGAAATGTTATCTCTACTGTAAATAGTTTGATTCAACATGCGTCTGTTTTGAGAAAAAGTTTCTTGATTTAGTTGCGGAATATTTGATTTACTCCTTTTGTTATCACAGAGTGTTCAAGTTTCTGTTCTAAATGTACTGAACATTGTCTCCCAAGTACTCAAAATAGGTCTGATATTTTTCTAGAAATCGGATGATACTGCAAATATTTCCTCTTAAGTTTGCCACTCTTTTCTTTTTCTTGTGGGTTAAAATGTTCGGTTCTGGTTTATAAATGGTGTATGTAGTTCTTTGTGTTGAAGCAAAAGAAGTAGAGTAGACCACATTAGATACCCGTGTAGAGACTGAGGTCAACAAAAGTTCCCTTGTTCTTGCACTACTCAGCGCAGCCATCGGGAGAAAAAAATATATAGATCTTATCTACATTTGGAGCAGCAGTTTTCAAGGCCTGTGGCGACTAGACTGGGAAGTGATGCACACAGCGTGGTAGTCGTGACAAATGTCGTCAGACAGGAAAACCGTACGGTGCCTCACTAGCCCCTTGTCATCATAGGTGTAGTAGAACACAGTGGGATGCTTTGTGATTTGACTCTTTCCAAAGTGTGCACTCTTGACCTCCACAGTTAAAAGAGGCCTCGCGGTTTTCTGCAAAGTCCATGACTGTAATGGCCTCGTCTGTTTCAACGGACTCTCTAACACTTTCCCTACGTAGCCCCAGCTCATTGGATATTTCCTCTATACGTAACTAAAATAATGGTCTATTCCCTAAAAACGTGGTGATTTGTGGGTCAGAAAAAAATTTACCATTTATAGCAAAATAGGTCTAGAAGTACAAAACTGCATATATATTTTTAAAATTCTATAAAGATCTATAGAATGTTGTGTTGAAATGAACAGGGGCTGTGATAATATGAAATATGACAGCAAGGTTATGAACAGTGACCCAAAAAAAGCGCGTTAAAATGTTACTTTTTTACAAGGAGTTCATACAGTAATTTAAGAGGAAAAAGCAATAAAACAGTTGATATACTCATATTTTTGTTCAAAATTGTAGTCCATTTAGTGAACATATAGTCCCACACTCATTCCAACTCAAATAGAGCTAGACATAATCCTTACAGCTAAATACACTTGATGTGATCGTCATCTCCTCGATCCACTTCACTGTCTCTACTATCCTTCAAGTTGAGCACTTGTTCTAAGTCTATCTCTAGATCTATCTACATTCCGGTCATGAAGAAGATCGTCGTCTGGGTCATACTCTCTATCACTATCACTGTAATGATCTATAGACTCTTCTTCCTCAGATCCTTCTTGAAGTGTCATGTCTAGTGCAGTATTTGCAAGCATGAGACGCGCTTGCTTTGGCTTACTGGAGGACGCCATTTTCAGCTTGACATAGTGTAACGGATCTAGATGTAGATAATCTGTAGGCATTAACCTGTTGAGTCTCTTGATGAGGTGTACTCAGAATGTGTTGTTCACGACGTGACAGCTCAGGGGGAAGTGAAGTTTCCCCCCTAAGTTAGGTACAGCTTCCGGGTCAGCTCCAGCAATCAGTAGTGGTGTGCATTTGCATATTTCTTATTCAATAATTACATTATCACATGACACATAGCTCCAGGGCTGCCGTCAAAGTTTGAACTACATTCACCTGAAATCTTATGCTCACTTTTCCAGCAAACGAACTCCTCTTCATTTAGAATTTTCCTTTGCTGGACACACTTAGCACAATAAGTTGTCATTGCATGAAAGTCCACACACAAACCAGTCAACATATCAAACACACATGCCACTCCATTCTTAGACGAAAAGCCACGTTTCTGCCAACTGCTGTCGTAGTTTACAGATATATTTAACAGTCCGTACTCACCTGCCACCTGACTGACTGTGTGCGTCTTTAACCTTAGCAATAGTTTCATTGAGGATTACATCCTCAAATGACGACGAGCGATCCTGGATCTCTGAGGCGAGTTTTAAAAAATGCTGGGGAAGTAACACGTGGCACATTCATATATATATTCACAAAAAATTTGTAATCCCCCAAATCCAATACCAGCCACAAGCGAAGAGGCTACAACACCTGATTCATGAATCTGCCATACACGTCGGCTGCCTCTGTCAAGGCAAAAACAATGTGAGTGACATGGTGACATGTTTTCCCTCCCGGCAGATATTGCATGAATCCAGAACAAGGCAGTGGTTAGGATTCACTGTCAGGTGAACTTCGTGAACATGGCAGCCTTCTATCGTAGTTTTGCGTCCCATGAAATGCAGATGTTGCCTTTTTGCTACAACATGTATTCCGTTAATTGAATAGTTGTCCAAACTCATAGGCCATTTGGGCGCATTTAGCTGAACAGGATGTGTCCAATTTCTTCCCACACACACAAAACTTGGGCAAAGACACTGATGAGGTAGCCACAGTGTTTCACTGGCACATCGCACACAAGTTGATGGTACACTAATCTCCGTATATTAGAATTGTATGTCTTGCCATCCTTAGAATTAAATATCCTGGAGTCTGAATTTGCTTTTGGGGATACATCTTTTAACTTCACCTCCAAAAAGTCAGAATACCGACGTCACTCAGTAATCTCTCGCCTTGTTTTTGCAGACTTATCTTTCACAATAGGAAGTTCCTACAATATAACAATCCTCAACGCTGAATTAATACATGTAATTGTAACATGTTCATGAAGTACATGTACAAAATGAATGGAAGTGGAAATTTCTTGAGCTAAATGTATACCTTAAGTTCAAAGAGTGTGAATGCCTCTTTCGGGGTCATAAGCATCAGGCGTGCGGGGCCAGCTTTGGTTGCTGCATAGGCCACCTAAATACAATGCATTACTATATTGGTGTTTTTTGGGGG